GTCAACCCATTGGTGCTTTTATGTGAATTATATTATATTATATTATATTATATTATATTATATTATATTATATTATATTATATTATATTATAATTTATTTTCTTAATTAATTACAATCTTTTAAACTAAGTTACAGTATGAACGAAGATCAGTGCCCCACCAATACTATCAATGTCTTTAATTCTTTTTTTCTAATTTCAATGGATAAATTTTTTTTTACTTTTTAATTTACTTGCGTATTCAATTTACAATTCACTTTACCATTATGGAACAATTTAAAACCATTTAGTTAAAAATGGATTCAAAACTAACAATAAAAAAGTTAGGTGTTAAATTTAAAACAATCCAAACAAACTCTGAATCGGATTACTTGTGGACTATTCTTGGTCAGCCATTCAACCGGTTTAGAAAATATATATATCACATCCATTTATATCTTGTGAATAACTTTTGAGATTTTTTAATTGCAGTGGTACTTTAAAATAGCACATTCACATTTTTTAAATATGAACATATCATATGACACTGATATTACTAGATTATTAGATTTCTGATGTTGTTAAAATATAAAAAATAATATATATATATATATATATATATATATATATATATATATATATATATATATATATATATATATATATATATATATATCTGATGTTGATAAAAAATAACTGCAGATAAAAGATTTTTTTCCGTCTTCTTCCTACTATATTTTTGTTCTTGCGTACACATTTACAGTACAGTATTTTTACAGTGTACAATAGTAAGCAAAATACTGTGTGTTTCATAAGAAGTCACTCAGTCTATTCTCTTGAGTAACGCTGACCAAGAACCATTTCATGTTGTACTTCTACACTGAAAAAAAATTCTTCAAAGATGATTCCTTGGATTTACTCATTTTTTTTTTTTTACGTTAAGTAGTTGTAAACAATTTTTTTGGGCTGAATTTAAACAAACAAATTAGGTTGAACATTATTAAACTTAATGTGTTTGTATAAATTCAACACAAATAAATTGCTTGCAACAGTTTTGCATGCAACACTTTTTTTTCAGTGTATGTGCTCAGTTCTGCAAAAACAACTATTTAAGTATCATCTACAATGTACAAATAGGTTTTTGTGTTTTCCAATGCAAATATGTTCCTATTTCAACAAACCACTAAACCAATTAATTAATAAATATCTCAAATTTTCCACATTATCTCTGCACACATATTTAAAATTTCTTTGACGAGACTTGAATGGGATAGGTTAAAAAGAAATATAGTTTCAAACTGCTCGGCAAAACAGAACACACTATTTCTTTTCTGTGCATATTAATACATGTCAATATGTGCTGAATGACACACTGTTCCACGTAAAAATGAAGCAGAAGGAATGAATTTACATATAACTGTGTCCACTTTAATGCAACATACTGTAAAGACAACAATGGCAGAAAAATGTCCTTCAAATTTTTAACTATTTTGTTAATTATGCCACAGTCATATCAACCTGCAGCGCAAGACTGGCTACTCACTGAAGCTAAGCACAGCCTGCTCAGTACCTGAACGGGAGACCTCATGGAAAAAACTAGATTGATGTCAGAAGTGGTATTAATGAGGCTAGCACGGGGTTCTCATCCTGCGGTCTGTGTGAGCCCTAATCCCCTAGTAAAGTAAAGGGGACACTATACTGTCAGTGAGTGATGTCATGATTGTAAACTTGTATGAATAATATGATATGTTGAATAATAATATAATATATTGAATATTGATGTGATATATTGAATAATATGATGTATCGTTAAAATTTTATTTAATTATTATATATAAATATCACCTCTTTTTTTAATACACTTTAATGTGTGTACATTTTTTTTAAACTATATTTGTATGTTACTTTTTATGTAAACTTTATAACTTTTTTGGCAATACATTTGTAACATTTGTCATGCCAATAAAGCAATTATTAAATTGATTTTAAAGCACTTCGGGTGTATGGCCAGAGACCATAAATGTGCTATATAAATAGACGTTACCTTCCATTACATTACATTATGAACACAAAATAATTAATACAAGAAGACAGTGATGTATGAGTGCATAATTATTTTATGCACATCTCACACATGCACTTTCCATTTATTTATTTATTTTTCTTTTGAGCTGAAATTATAACAGTTTTAAATGGGAAACACAAAAATATTCAAGTACTACTTTTGAAGTAAATTACTTCATGAGATAGAAAGTGCAGAAAAGGATGAATCGTTATCTTCAAGATTGGGCTGTGCATTTGACTGTGTGGGTATGCTAATGTACATTACATATATCCTTTGGACTTTACGGTAACACTTTACTTGAAGTGGGTGCTCATGAAACCTTTATTGCCATGACCTAAGACATGTCATGAATGTGAATGAGAATTTAATCATGCTCACCAGATGTCAAGTGTCATTTGATTAGTTATGGCATTTTAGATGACATTGTTTGACATAAACAATTACATTGCAACCTTTTTTAGTCTTTGTCATGACAACTTGACATTACCTAAACAACAAATCTTGTCATAAACATTATAAACACCTGTCTTTAGACACCTGGCAATGATTTTGATTTTAATTCTCAATTTAGCAATCTATGTAATTCAGAATTTCTGCAAATTCTGCCAAAAACTCACATTTCATAAGAATAAACCACTAGGAATGTCCCTCAATTTCCAACCCTGGGAGGCATTTTGGGTCTATGGATTATCCTTGGGGTGAACTCACCTCCAAAGACTGAAGGACACAGCATGTCTCATCACATATGACAATTGTGCCAAGACCTTGAGGACTCCAGCCGATTAAACTGACTGAAATTTCATTTCTTTTTTTTTCTATTTTCTCCCTATTTCCTTTCTTTTACCCTCTAGTGGTCCTTACTGGAAAGGAATCAAGTTCACGAGGCACTACACTTCATACATCTACTTCAAAATAACATACCGTATATATTGTCAAAGGTACTACAACATTGAATATTGAAACAGACAAAACCTGAAAAGAAGAAAATAAGAGTTGTAACTCGCAGATATAACATACGGAAGCATTGATGCTGCTCTCCTGCACTGCATTATATTCTTACAGTTTATTAAATTACTCTGTGATTTTATAGATAACAAAGTAACAGCAATTGTCATTGATAAAATGCATGACACTGGCAATCAAATTGTGCAGCATGGCACTTCAGTAAAGCCTATGAAAGACAGGTTTACAACCATAAGTGTAATGGCCAATTGTAATGCTATGGAGACAAAATCCATTATTTGTGAATAGGTGTTAAAGGACAAGAACTAGATAAAAATAATCTTAAACAGATTATCATTTTAAGATTTTTTTAGGAATTTGTAATTATCTGTTTTTAGAGTGAACTCACATTTTGTGTGGATGCCTTGTACAGAGCCTTGAACATGCAAACATCATTACTTTGCAGCTTTACTAAGACTTAAGATTTTTGTTGTGTTTTTTAAAAATGTGATTCATGTAATATTTAAAAGTGATGAGAAAAGAAGCAACTGTGTATTCATTTTCAGCAGACAACACACAATTAAAAGTGAATTACTGTATAAATTGTTATGTTTTTATATAAGGCTGACTTGTTATTTTCAAAATCTTAATACAGTTTTCATACATCTGCTCATTAGAAGACAAATGTTTAAGCCTATGTGTTAGTGAAGCTGCAAAAGCTTACTTAAGCATATATGTTTAAAAGTACTTTTGATGCTACAGGGTAGCTTGACACTTACAACTTGTGTTCATTTTCACAGTATGAGATAGCAATGTAAAATTAGATAAAACTTTAATAAAACACAATTGCATTTTGAAAACCTTAATGGTTGGGTTTGGGTTTAGGTCGGCGGTTTGTTGCTCTTCTGTACTCTCCCACTTACATATACTGCAGTATTACATAAGGAATGAGGTATATCCAGGAGGTTGTCATTGCAGAATAAAACAGACTGAACCCCTGGATGTACTTTATTCTGCTTTTTACATGGCTACTTACCAGAAAGCATAATAATTAGACAAAACATTGCCTTGAGCAGTAATTGTTTACTAATTATGTCATTAAAAGCAAAACCGAAAGAAACAAAAATGGCTGACGGAGCATACACTAACCTGCACATTATTGAGTTGTTAGAGGTGCCTAAAATTCAAACACGCCAAGCTGACAGAAACAGAACCGGCTGAATGGAGAATATACTAACCTATGTATAATCTATTCACAAGACAGTGCCAAACAGTCAAAAATATATAGGATGTATATGATGTAAATGAATTCAAAGTACTTTGATGAGCCTGTGTTATTTAGCGGTTGTTATCTCGGGAATAACATACCTTGGAATGCTGCGACTGACAAGTTAGAATCAAGTGTTCCAGACAGTCTTTTAATAACAAGAGATTTATCTTGGTAATAAAAGCATTATTCCTGGCTGATGCCAATAAAACATTTAATTTACACTTAATCTTAATCAACTTATCATTTCATTCATCTATGGCATTTATTTTCTAAATCACTTGCTATTATTGGGTTGCAGAGATGCAAGCAGGGCAACAGCCAGGCCAGTCCATTGAAGTTTTTTTTTTTTTTTTTTAATGCCTTGACACACATTTTCTTATTAAAAGTAATATTATAGAAAAGTTTTTTGAAAGACAGTTATTATGTGATCATATGATCTTATATTCTATTTGATTCCAATACGTACAAAGCAAATTCATTAGTGTCAAATTTCGAGTGTTGGTACGTGTTGCTGGGTGTTGATAATGTTAACTCTTTCAAAATTGTTATTTTAACACTTTTTTTTAGTGGTTCCCATATAAACTCTGAGAGAGTGTTAATTTTTAACTCTAAGGCAGTTAAAACTACTATCTAAAATCTGCAGTGTTTAAACATCAACATATTTGGTAAATAATATTGTAGAAATGTTGTGACCAGATTAATAAATAACATGGTTTGATTGATAGTTTCTTAAATATGATCTTACCGTCCACACAGGCCGGCCTGGCATTCGTTGTCCCAGCAATCTGTCCTTTCTTACATGCACAGCGAGCTGTCTGTCTGGCAATCGTCCTGCGTGGCTGACTGCTGTCTTTGTCTAAAGTGACAATCTCACAGGTGCCTGCTGCAAGTTGACCTGCAGAACATACACAAAGATGAGAGAGAAGTTCAGATAGAAGCATTGGCAAAAATATCAATAGCATAACCTCATGCATACATACATACATTATGTATACATTAGCTAATTCAGGTTGCATTAATAATTCAGAAGACAATGGAGTTATGATTTGTTTGGGTATCAAATTAATGCATGATATATTATCTTAGCATTTATATATATATTAGGAATTATCTTAACCATTGTGCTGTCTTGGATTTCAACATATTACTTTTTGTCATAAGGGTAAAAAATGGACAGTTTAAAGCGGCAAGACTGAATTTCAACCCATGAAGAAACAACCTCACCAGTTACCAGATTCTCTCTGAATATCTAGGCTTACTTTTTTAAGTGTGTGGTAATTTACCAAAAATTAACATGTTTCACCATGATGTGAGTCATTTTATTCCACTTAACATTTTATTGTGTGTATGTCTTTAATAACAGTGTGGAGGTAGCCACCTTATAGCAAGCAGGAAACAAAATGCAGAGAGTAGTATGGTCAAAACAAGAAGGCTACTAACAGGCTCCAAATATTTTCTGGATTGTTTATAGATTTACTTTTCCAAAATGTTCTTGCAAACTGGGGTATTGTCACTCTTTTGGATTGCACTGTATGTACCCTGGTTGACTATCAATTTGGGACTTTTAGAGCATACCCAGCAAACAATTTTGTGTTTAATAAACACTTAATAGACATCTAAATGTAGACAGCTTGGCTAAAACAAGGCTAAACTTGGGTCAGTGAAAATCTAATAGACATCTAAGAATTGCCCAAAACTAGACTAGGTGTCAATTAGACGGATTAGACAGACTTTATATGTGTAGTCATTCATTTCTGTTTATTTGACAACTAGTCTAGTTTTGACCTATTCTTATCTAGATTTTCACTGTCATGCCATGATTTAGCCATGTTTTAGCCAAGACGACTGTGTTTAGACATCTATAGACATCTTTTAAAAACAAAAAATGCTTGCTTGGTAGCTTGATTTTTGGACTGCTTTTAGGGTATGGTGCATTGAATTGTATGCTTTCACCAGACTGATTTTCTTCTTTTATTGTGTTGTTTGTGAATACATTTTTTCTACTACAGTTCTAAAGTAATTCACACAACTAAAATATGTCCTAATTTATTTGATTAACTTTATTTCCTGCTGTTAAGGCTGAACACCAGATAGAAGACCTTAATTGAATTAACATTGAATCAATGGTCAATAGTTTGAAATGTCAATGTTGAATTTCCATCAGCTTAGCGCCCTCAAATATAGTAATATATAAATATAATGATAGAAATAGACTGAACACAAAAGAAGTTGAGTCCTATTGACAATTGTTGATACAAATTCTGCTTCCAAGGAGAAACACTTAAGAAACACACAATTACTTACTAAATCCCAGGACCATTTATATTGAAGTTGATATTTAGCCACACCATACTGGTGTTTCTTTACATCTAGTTTTTTAGAGGTGGGTTGTTAGCCAATTGCTCCACCCCCAACCTGGAGGACCAGGACATACAATGTTTTACAACTGAATTATTTTTTGAACTATGCTGACTATACACAATTACAAATCACTTATTTTTCTGTCCTTATTCACATTTTATGAAAACAATTACATAAAATTTGCCATCACCATTTTAAAGATTAGCGTTTGTTTTACTTTCTTTATGATGGCTTCATGGTATTTGCTACATCCATAAAGGAAAAAAAAATAAAGAAAAAAAGCTAAAGAGCTCAAATTAACACTGTTGTCTTACAGAAGGTGTTCTCAACTGGTCTTCAGTGTAAATAGATACACAGAGGCTTTAATGGCTTTAAGAAAATAAATAAGGCTGAACTAAAAAAGTATTTATACTGAAACTGATTTATTGTTGTAGACTTATTGATGTATTGTTGTAGATTATAGTGCAGACACCGTATGGTCCTAATGAGGGCTCCCCATGTGGGGCCAGCAATAAAGGGCCAATGTTCATTGGCCCTGTGATGGCAGCTCACATGCTTCTTTGCAGGATGGATACCACTCTACAGCAACTGTTTATATTTTCTAATGCTAAAGGTACCTGCATAGGTGTATACCATTTTAGTAAGACAATAATTAAAAAAGTTAAAGAAGCAGATTCTTATTGGCTTTGTTGATTGTGTGTTGGAGTAAGCCTGTAGTTCTTGTGGTGTAGACATGGTTTTATAGCTGGCCAGAATTGGTCACTAAGACAATCATTGTACCCTTTATGTGTACAGCATTTATGAAAATAGAAAATGGTATAAAATGGATTGTTTCGATCAAAAAAGAATAATTACAGCATTCATCAATCATAATCTTTATACTTTATGTCTCTAACCACATTATGTGACAGAAGATTGGACCTAAAAGTAAATTTTTTTTCTTCCTTTTCTTGTCTTGCCTTTCTATTAATAGACCAACTGTTAAGTTCATTGTCCTGGAGCAGGGAGATCAATGTGAGATAAACTAGCAAATCCACCACCTTTCTTGACTGTTCACGGTGTAGTTTCTATGCAGTCAGCCTCTTTGAGCGGCCCCATGTGAGCCTGCTCATATTGGCTCCTTTTGGGAGCTTCGCCACATTTTCTGGAGGAGGTGTTGGAAAATAATGGATTACTGTATATTTATCCCTCTCCCCTACAGAGGGTATCTCCAGCCCCACTACAGAATCCAGCCAGTCAACACCCCACTGCGTGGTGCAGTTGTTATACCGCACCACAGATGGCCATCGAAAGCCTGCCATGATGTCAGACAAGAGCAAAAGAGTGGATCTCCACCCTGGAGCCAGAGTTTCAAAACTAACAGTTGTGTGAGCCAGCAACACTGTAGTATATAGCCATGGGAGTACTTATGCAGTTTGAGAGAATGGATAGGGAGACCGTCCACATTTTTGACTGTGTCAATCATATGACTGTATCTTGTTCTGCCCAGCTCTTTATGGTCTTCCCAAAAGAGGGTCCTACCACAACCCTTGCCCCCCACCCGCCTTCATCCTCTAAACCCTGTAGATACAACAGCTCATGTCAAAACTTTGGGATCTCCCTCTGCCAGCTACCATGGGGTTAGATGATTTCCTGTCTCTGCCTCCAAGACATGGACCACACGTCCCTGTTGTCCAGTCCTTCATTTTCCTCCACCTCAACCCAGCAGGCACAGGACGTCAACATGACATCAGATCGACACTGTACCTCGATGTAGTGGGACATTGCATTTTTTTTGGAAATGAAAATCAGGTTGACGTCAGAACCCATTGTTGTCAATGTCCAATATCAGACAGACTTTGCATTTTAGTTATGTTCCAACACAACCTAAAAACAACAAAATATTAAAGACTAATGATGTTACAGCTTGACGCTGTGTGGATATTACCACCATGACGTCTATCAGACATTAGATTTTGGTCGCCATATCTGATGAATACATGTGAGTATTTGATTTTAATATGATTTTGCTTTAAGATGTTGCCTCGACAGTGGATTCTGGTCACTTTCCAACACAACCTTAAATGAACCAAATATCAATGGCATTTTACGTCATTATTGGACGTCAAAATAACATTGTTCTTAGGTGACGTAATTCTAACCGAATATTAATGTCCTATGATGTTGTGTCTCTGCTGGGAAGACTCAACCAGCTGCACCTCATCTGTCCATTGCTTTGGCCCTGTTGGATTATTCCCTTCTATCAGCTACACTTCTGTCCTTTGTCACTCTGGCTCTGCCAAAGTGATTCAGATTTTCGGTCCACCTCAGTCACTTGAATATAAGCTCTATCTTGACCTTCTGTGTCACAATGGCTCTACAACTTCCCCTTTGGCTCCATCACCATTGGCTCTGTCCCTGTTTCTGTCCCTAGCACCCTGATATTCACCCTGATAGTCAGGCCCATCTCCACAATTTTTTTTACATCTTCTAACCAGGAAATTTCAGTGTATGCTAAGATCAAAGTTACATTTAATTTAAATCACTGAAAAAAAAATAAGATAGCTGCAGCTATGATGCAGAAAAAATGTTGATCCATCTACTGCGCCTATCAAAATATTTGCAAGGAGATTGACTGGTAGATTTAAAGTATATTTCCAACGCTTGTTGGTAATAATAATAATAATAATAATAATAATAATAATAACCTGTGCCATATTTGCTGTTAAGTTTCCAAATATTCAGCATATACAAAGTCAACTTGTAACTATGATTATTTGAAGCAATTTCAAGCAAACTTGAACGCATAATTGTAAACACTGCATCCAAAATGTATACATGTATTGCCTATAAAAAGCAAAAGCATTTTTAAGTGAAAGTTAGGGTTGTGTTTTACCTGCTGCTACTCTGTATGGCCATAAGATTAACCTGTCTTTATAGGAAGTAGTTCAACAGGGAATCTGTTTTAGGCCTGTGAAGTTTGATTGGCAGCGGGGTAGAAGTGTGATTTAAACTGACCTGGAGTCAGTGTGCAGAGGTAGAACAAGGTTAATTAGCCTAACGCACAGGTCACGTTCAGGCTAATGGAGAATCTTAAGATACACAGCCGTCCTGCTACATTAAATGTGGGTGGTGTGTACGGGGTGAGGCAAAGGTTAAATAACATCAAACTTAACATGTTTGTGATTTCACCAAATTTATACAACCTTTAACCTAGTAATTGCAAAGTGTGAGTTGGATTATGCTAAAATCCGTTTGTCGGTTTCTTTGCTTTTAGGGGGAGACTTTTAAAGCTGCAAATGATGCGGAAAACATACTATTTTATCATTTGGAAGCTTTCAACAAAAGCCTACTTATTTTAAGCCTAATGTACAACTTAATCAACAAATAACTAATGAACTCATAATTTGTTGATTATTTATTTTCAAAATTATTTAAACGTAGAGATTAAAATAAATGAAGTCATATCATACCGTGGCATTCAAACAACGGTTAATGATTTTTTTCTCTGTTAGCTGCAGACAATTCTGATATGACCATCTATCTTTCTCTTTTGTATTTTGCATGTGAGCTGTTCTAGCCATAAGTTGACAGTTTGCAA